GATGATATCAGAATCGCAATGACTGTGACTGACCAGCTATGCGTACACATACAAGGATTTAAACTAAAAAAAAACACACACACACACACACACACACATATATAAATAGATATGAAACTACAACAACATTTATAGACAGTAAGACAATGGTGCAGAGTGCAAAGGATGCTGGAATAAAATTAGATTTATGTAGTAGGTTGCTTTATATAGGTGAATATATTCTTATTAGATTTGACATATTGGCCCATATCATAACCACAATATCATAAATTCACAAACAAATTGGCTTTACAGAAATTATATGACAAGCTAAACTAATTTCAATGATGTATGATAACTCGTGGCCACTCTTTAGACTTTAACTTTAAAAACGTATTGACGTTCATTATTTGACCTAAATGAAGCACATCTGCTGCATTTTACAAACCAACAACCCAAAACAATTCACACAAACACTTTTACCCAGTTAACATTTCAAGACACATTTATTAACTGATTGTGACTAAATGTTGTTCTTTGAAAACAGGATAAACTGATCATCACTATTTTTCGTAACATGGGACACATCATTTGACTCTATAAGGAGTTAGACTATCAATATATTTATGATCAAGACCAAACTGTTTGTTCTGGTTTGTCAACACATAGTTTTTTGCTGTTAAAATAGTTTTTCATATTTCCCAAAAATTTAGTCCAATATCCACATGAGCCATTTATAGCTCATCCAGTGATTATTGTTTACTTATGTTAACAGTGTTGTTGAAATCACGTCTCCACATGGAAAAGTCTGATAAAAATACGTCTTAACTCGCATAGAGCGATTCATTTTTGTCATTTTTCAGAACTTAAAGACCTGATTTGGTGAAATTTCACAAACTATAAACTTGCAATGCGGTGCGCTGTCAGTTAAAACCACATAATGTTTTGTCACAGTGTGATAGTTTGACCTCCATACATGTATATATTTAATTGTAAATGTTATTGTGGTTCAAGTCCTCATCTAAACGTAAACCAAGGTTGTCTTTCATCACTTACTTACTTCCTTGTTTCTTGTTTCAAGAGCAGCTTGCAGAAACAACAACATTAAACCACATCTGTCTCAGTGGTTTTGTTTCCCAGGCTGCCAGTTGTTGTGAAAGCATCTGAAACCAAGATCCTTCGACCTGTTTTAAAGGCTCTTTTAATTGTTGGGGAAAGGATATGCAGATTATTGAAAACATGGTTCACCTATGAATGATGTTCGTGTTGAGGTGGAGAAGTTTCAGTACGAACCAAAGTTATGACGCCCTTTTGGGTCGTTATGACATACTGCTGAGAAGATTTGTTGGAGTACCAGATGTCAGGTTGCGCGGGCAGAAATAAATAATATATGACATTTAAAACCTTCAGCATAAGTTCTCCTCAGTGAGCTGACTTTGTGCTGATCTTATTCAGTTTTGAGCTGAAGTTTTAAGGAACAAGGAAACCACAGCCAATCACCTGATCTGCATCTGAATTGTAGCGTTGGCATGGCCTCTTCATGTTGGTGGTTAACAGTGAAATACATACACATACATCACGATTGTTCGGTGCTACTTCATCTTTAAATTCAGTGCAGCTGTACTTAAAGGCAATGTTGAAAAAAACTTTTTCTTTCTGTTTATGTTAAACTTCAGGTAAGTAATATTTGTACTGAGGAAAGAAATGATTAATGATATGGAATATGGAAAAGCTTTCACTAATAATTTTGTCTTCATTCAAACAGAGAAGTTCAAACACTGTACCAAGTGGCTGTAATGCCTCCTTGAAATAAAACTATGAACAGAAGAGTAAGAGACCATTACAGGATAATGAATGTGAAAACATAATATATAATAAAACAAGTAGAGAAGAGTCATCAAAGGATCAGTGTGTCAGACTTAGTTGCATCCAGCTGTAAAGTTGCAGATCGCAACTAACTGAACACCGCTTGCGTCCTACCTGGGAATGAGGAGAAACTACGGTGGCTGTGAAACTCACGTTCTGGGCTTCGGTAGAAACATGGCAGTTCAACATGGCGGACTCCATGGAAGGGGACCTGCAGCATCTGTAGATAAAAGCATCAACAGAAACACAATGATTACTATATTCAGGTGATTATACACTAATAAAAACATACCTATGAATATTTCTGCCTATAGATCCTCTTAAGTGTTACACCCTGGACCTTTCAGTTGATAAGCTGGCTGCATAATGTTAAAGTTAGCTAATGTTGGCTCACAGCTATGATCATACCAGTCCCAGTGTTAGCCTGTAGCAGTATGTTAAACTGAATATGGGTGAATTTTTATTGCTGATAAATTCAAGTTTTTGTATTTGTAAGATGAACAATGTGTTATTTCAGTAGTCTGTCTTTAAAGACCAGAAAACCAGGAACATTTTTGCCATCAAATATCATCAAGTTTCTTTGATATCAGTGTTTAAATGTCGTATCTTCCAGCTCAAGCTGAACCTGTAGGTTTATATATACTTAGTAACTCAGTGATTGTGCCCCAAGTACTCATTTTACAAGTTGAGGGCAAGTTCACGTATCGAGGAGCATGACTGATTTAGTTATAAAAATCAAAGTTTTGAAATGAAAGTAAGACAACCACAGCAGACATAGGGTGCAGTACTACTGTGAGAATGTTTTGTAGTCTCAACAGAAACTGACTGAGTGCCAAGGCCTCACCTTTCACTTTGAGTGTACCAGACTGGCAGAATAACGGTCAAGTCATGAGCACATTTTTATTCTTAACAACTGGCATTTCTTCCATCACTATTTTACTCTTATGAAACATTTCCCACCAATTCATTTAATACAAATGAGCAACTGTTGTCCATTACTGTCATCGCATATCGACATGAGTAAGGCATGACTAAGTGTCCTTGAGTAATTCGCTAAACCTCGAGCCGCAAGTGCCTGGCATCACACTTCCCCTGCAATCGATGTGTGTGTGTGTGTGTGTGTGTGTGTGTGTGTGTGTGTGTGTGTGTGTGTGTGTGTGTGTGTGTGTGTGTGTGGGTGAATGCAAAGCTTGGGACTGATCTGTTTGCTGGGTAAAAGTACAATAATTAACATATCAAACTTCATGTTCCTGTTCACAAAACAAAATCAGAGGGACAGTGAGAATTTGGTACAGTTTTGTCATAAATATAAAATAAGACTGATTCCTTTAAGCTTAAGATGTCACCTTATCTAATTGGTCAAATTCAGTAGAATGGAAAGATGCTTCACTACATACATAATCAGAACTCTGATTGCATTTATTACAACTAATCTACGTAGCTTCCTCCTGAGGAAGGTTGTTTTCTGAAACGTCGATCTTTACAAATTTAAATAAATAGCAGCTGGTTTAATGCTCATGCATGCATGTCCATTCTTACATTTGGCAGTCAGTGCAACCACAATAAAATACTGAGCGCTGTGAGAAAAGCTGTCCACTGTGCCTCTATGATGGCTTTTTTTAAAGCAGGTGTTGGAAATATGTGACCCCGTGCACCCACAACCTGGCACTAGCACTAACACATTCATGACACAAATGAGACTGAAAAAGGAGTGGGCACACATGAACATTTGAACTTTCAAACACCTGACTTCCCCTCTCTTTACTACTCACGAATACTTTTTTTTATCAGAAGGTGAAAAGTAGTTTTAAAAAGACAGAGGAAATTTTGTGCATGTACCATGTAGTCTTCCTCTCAGGAAATATCACAGATATCAGATCTAAGCTGCCAGTTGTTTTCATATTTGCTGTAAGTTTAAGCCTGAGAGCTTTTGTTGATTGGTGTCTTAGGTAAACCTCATCTAGAATTACTGCCAGTATGCCTCTTTTCATGCTTTGAAGTACTTTCTTTGAGCATGTGAGAATTTCTACCATCTTCACCTCTATTAAATGTTGTTTCCTGTTGCTGTCAGACGCTTGACTGCTTTTGGGTTGCTTCATATATGAAGTGTGGCTTGTGTTTTCACGTTCTTTTTTTAAATTCTATGTTTTCCTTTTGCAAAGCCCACATGTGATGGTATGACTGACATCATATTTCACGTCTCCTGTGCTGTTATACAAAAGATTTGTCATGGTTTGTTTATTTATTGTCCTCTGTGCACACAGATGCCTAGAAGATGAGGTAAAAGATAAAATACATATAAGCTACATTGCCTTCATCAGGGAAGTTCAGGTTTGGAAATACCAAAACTCACATTCGTCATTGTTACTTTACAGGCTTTGACTTTCATCTGTTATTTTTGCAATTTAATTTAATTAAGTTCAGTGCAGTTTTTTTTTTATCGTGGCACTTCATCCCATCCCCACATTACATTAGAGAGTGCCACAAGAGAGCCTTATGCGAATAGCTTCAACTCAATATATATTACTGCATTATTACATTATTACAATGGATATAATAGCATTAATATTTCATGCAAAAGTTTGAATTATTGCTTTAAAACTGATTACTGTGTAAAATGAGGCACTTATACATCATTGGGCAATACAACGTAAAGCGACTGCATATAATGCTGCGTTGTTGCAGTCTCTGTATTGTACTATTTAAAATTGCAGAACAGAACAGAAAATTGAGTGCCAACATTTATAATAAACAAATAAAGTAAAATCCATTTAAATTAAAGGTAAATTCTTTTGTCCCTACACCTGATTGAAATTCTCTGAATCTTTTTGTAAAGACGTAGCAGGATTTCATAGGCTGTGAATGCTCTTTTTCACTTTCAAACTTTACTACTGTAAGTCTTTTTATTTCTGGATTTAATTATGAAAAAGCTTGTTATAAACTTTTGGGGTATGATGTCTCTTTTTATACATACCTATAATAATGTGCCAAATGTTGGGTGAGCAGTATGGACACCTGGTATATTATTATATAGGCTAATGATTAAATAATACAATTATTATGTTAATAAAAAAATGATGATTTTCTATCATCCTTAATTAACTGTTTTTGGCAGATAGAAAACACCAGTTTTAAATTACAAATACACAAAAATGTTTCTTTTCAGCCTTTATTTTTGAAATGTCACTTTATCACAATATATACATTTCATTGCATTTTGTAACATTATGCAAACATTTTACAGTAAAAACATAATTCAATTCTTGCCTTCAGTACATAAAACAATTCACACAAAAAAGTTATCTTGCACATTTAAAAAAATATATATTTAAACCTGTAAATTAATGCATTTTCCCAACTAATGCTGCAAAAATTGGATTTGGAAATTTTGATTTTTATACAAAGAAAAGATATCAGTGGATACTTCCTCATATATCAACACTACTGTACAATATTGTATACTGTAAGCAGAATGGAGAGCATATAATAATAATAAGACTATTGTAATAAAAAAGAATAACATAAGAGAATATATGACAAAATAAAACATGATTCATTGGAACAAAACTATACAGCACCGTCCTGATAATGCTTACTAACATCCCTTCAGAGAAATATGAACAAAGCCTCACATTATGAAAACGAACACAGCAGATAGACCTTAAAAGATAACAGAACAATAACTTTACAAACTTCAAAACGGAAGATAAGAGCTGTGTTTACTCAGACATCTGCAGCTGACTTCTCCCACCAGAGGTTGCAAAGCTCTCGGAGGTGCCCACGTTGGTGAATGACGCGGAGGAATTGTAGCTGTGGAGCAGCTTTGGCTTTCCTGCGCAGGTCATGTACATGATCACGGCGCTTCGTCTGAAGTGATGGTCCAGGAAAAAGTAAATGGCTGGATTCACGCAGCTGTTGAGGAAGGCCAGGCAGCAAGAGACTTGGAGCCCGTTTGTTAGCCACGACACAGCTTCACAGTTCAGTTTTGCATGCGAGAGCTGAGAGCAAATCATGATGACTTTGAAGACGTTGTAGGGGAGCCAGGACACCACAAAGGCCACTATGATGGACAGGACCATCTTCAGGGAGTGTCTGCGGCGAGCTGCAGCTCGGGGGTTTGCAGCAGCCACACAGTGCTTGTTGAGATGCATGATGATAGTGCCATAGCAGAGCACGATGATCAACACTGGAAACACAAAGGTGAGTAACGCCATGACCAAACTCAGGCCCAGAAAAAAAGTTGAGCTGCTATCTTCCACGCAGCAGGGCATCTCATCGGACTCGTCCACTCTTCTGTACACCAGGGATGGGATGCCGAGCAACAGGGAGAAGAACCACACTGCAGCACAAGTGGCACGGATGCACCGGCTGCTCCTCAGGTACCTGGAATCCATCAGCTTCACCACGGCCAGGTAGCGGTCGACACTCATGCAAGTGAGGAAGAAGATGTTGGAGAAGCGGTTCACAGCAATGATGTAGCTGCTCAGCTTGCACAGCTCGTTCCCGAACATCCATTTGCCGTTCTGGCTCGCAGAGTGGGACCACAGAGGCAGGGTGAGGACGAAGATTAGGTCGGCCAGGGCCAGGTTGACAACAAACGTATCCACCAGCCGCCCACCTCTTCTACCTTTGCCTCCCACGACTGAGATAACAAAGAGGTTGCCCAAAAAACCAGTGAAAAAGATGATGTAATAGACCACGGGGAGGAAGATCTCGGAGCCCTGGAGGTGTGAGATGGGACAGTCCACTGTGATATTAAACTCAATATCACTATAAGAACTGTTCTCACTGTACATGTAGTCATCGTCAAGTGGATATTCAGTGTAGGCACCCATTCTGAGAGATCACACAGAGGCTCTGCTGTGCAGCAGCTGGTTAGTCTAGTAGGTATATTACATGTGAAAACCACAGAGAAAAATAGACTGCTGCTTCATCTATCTTCCTCTCTCCCCCTGGGGCTGTCTTTCTTCGACTGTCAGTGAAAACTCCCTCTCACTGGCCTTTCATATCTGATTTTAGTGTGTCAAAGAGACTGAATATTTCTTTACTGATTGGAAATAATGCCAGAGTTTGAGACCTGACAATTGATAGCACTGAGCTTTCACATTACAACACATGAAGGAAACATTAAGGGACCAGCGGACTGTATAATAGGGAGCCAGTTCTTTAGCACTACTTCATTAAAGTTTATAAATGAGCAGTGGAGGAAGAAGTTGTCATATTTCTTATTTAAGTATAAGTGGCAATACCACAATGTAGAAGTACTCTGTTACAAGTAAAAGTCCTTTTTTAAATGTACTTATGTAAAAAGACACACCATCAAGATATCCTCAGTATAAAAAGTAAAAATACTTATTGTGAATTATAATTATTGATGCATTAATATATACATTGTTTTAATGCTGCAGCTGGTAAAGGTGGGGCCTTATTTTATGCAACATATACTCTCATCTTTATTCATTATAATACATCCTAATTTATTTGTTGCTTATATTTATTTTGTATGATTAATCTGAACCTACAGAGTAATTAAATGTATCATACATACATTTAGTGGAGTAATAAGTACAATATTTGCCTAAAAGTATCTAGTAACTAGTAGTAACTACAAGAACTTCAAAACTGTATCTTACTTAGTTTGTAATGGTAGCCATTTATAAATCCCCTGTTTAAATACTAACATATTTCACAAGGAACTATTTGTGTTTGTGTGTGTGTGTGTGTGTGTGTGTGTGTGTGTGTGTGTGTGTGTGTGTGTGTGTGTGACTACTGCACTCACATGAACTGTCACATCTGCCTCATAAATACAAAAGAAGACAGATTCCTTCATTGGTGCAAGTGATCTTCCTTTCCTGTACGATTGTGTATTAGATGTTTCTGACCAGTAGGGGGCAGGTGAGATTTACTTCTGTTTTGTATATGTGATGACCTCCTGCCTGAATTCAGACTGTGGTTCTGGAGCAAAAATGTCTCTGATCTTCTGCAAAGTAAAGTGTTTGTTTGCTTCTCTCAGAATTTCCATCTCATCAGCGAAAACATGCTGCAAGCCAGGAAGCATACCGTGATCAGCAGAGCATGTCTTCCAGTACGGCATATCACCTCCCCTTTAATCAGCGTTTTTGTTTGATTTTTAAGTTGTAGTATTTTGCTGAGAAAGTATGTTCAGGCCTCAGTGATTGTTTTAGATAATGGAACCACTTTGAACCTTGTTGTACTGATGAAAGTACAAAAGTTCTGGTCATTTATTTTATTTTCCTTGCAAGGGACGTATGATGTTATTTAATTTGATGAATTATACCAGAGTCAGTTTTCATCTGCAGTCCTTTGGCAGATCACAATTAAAACTACACTCATAAACAGAACAGGACACTTCATTGCTTTCACTTAATCAAACTTTTACTTGTCATTGACCCCAAGAGAGCTGATCAACAAGCAGCTACAGTCTCCCTTCCTTTAGCAGCTGAAACAGACTGCATGTAAACCTTTCTGTCCTTATATTTACTCACTTTGACCAGTTAGTTTGGGGATTTTTATTTTTTATTACTGACTTTCTGCAGAGGCCATTCTCAGCATTGTCTCAGTGTCATTGTACAAAGAAAGTATGATTGTAGCCAATAATTAGACAGCACACTGCCTCCTGTTGTCAGGTTATTTCTCTGTTGTCATTCTGTTTCTCTACAGTGTAATATTGTTATTTTTGTCCATTTTGTGCACACAAACTCTATTACATGTCTCTCCTGAAGGAGGAGTCCCTCCTCTGTTTCTTTTCCTGGCCTCTAAGGAGAAAGGGTGTCACACACAGTGAAGATTATTAATCCCTTTGAGGCAAATTTGTGAGTTTTGGCAATGTACCTAAATAAAACTGACTCAACAGCCAGGTAGCTGAAATGCACAGAGCACAGATACACCAAAATACACATATTACAGTTTCAACATATTGTGCTCTGAGGCAGCAAAGGTGATGTTAGTGATAATGTGAGGAATAGATACATTTTTTTTCTTTGACATCTGCTTGGTATGTACAATAAAAAAAAACAACAACCCATCACTACCACGGAAACCAAGTTGAACCAACTCGAAACTGTTTGTCACTGCTACATCAGCAGCTCATCTTTACCACATAGCGTATTTGTGTCGGTTTGGATGGTACGATTTGACTCTTCCGTTTATACCTAAGACTTTGCTGAACGTTGGTATTGAACTCAGCTCATTGCCTCTGAGATAACAGAGACAGAAGAGGCAGCCACGGCCATTGTCACAGAGAGGGGAAACTGTCATTAGGACTACCTCCTCAAGACAGAAAAGACCTCAGGAGAAATGCAATTTGTGGTCCAGCTTGAAGCTATTGTGCTGTGGCCGGGAGGAGTGAGGTTGGGGGACAGGCCACATCTTACAAGAGACCGGGGAACGCTTCATTGTTCTGCGGGGAGTTTCTGTTAAGAAAGCACAGCAAATGAATGACCTCCTTCTAGGATCCCTGCTCCACTTTCCCTCTAGCATTGTGCGTTATTCAAACACTTTGTAGTGTCAAGGTGATGTGTGGATATACTCGTCACAGCAGAAAATCCTGTCAGTCAGCATTGTTCAGTTTGATGTTGTTCTCCCTCATGCTCAGCTGTACCTTTTCCTTTAAAAAGTTTTAATTATTTCTTCTGCATTCTTGCTGCTCTGTCAGTGGAACGCTACATTCCTCTCCTCGAATAAGTGCTGTCTCACTCCAATTGAGCAGAGTAAATGTGAGAGCCAGTGAATGGAGCAGCCTCAATAGGAGAAAATAAACAATTGCATTGGTCCATGGGTGCAGCGGGGGAGAGCGGATGAGAGGAAGGGAGAAAGGCCTCCCTAACGTGCTAAGATTCCCATGGATACTTAGTCCTTTTTCTGTTGAGAGGAGGATCTCGTAAAGTACTTCAACAGTGGATGATTTCTCTTTTCCTTTTACTCTGTTTTTATTTGAGGAGAGAAAGGGTGGTATGCGTCAGGGTGATTGTTAGACATAGGTCACATGCACACACGTGCGCACTTGTACACACACACAATCACACACCACACACCACACACCACACACCACACACACACGTACAATTTGCTCCTCACTTGTCGAGTGCAAAGTTTCAAGAAAAGAGTCCATTGTTTGGGTGTGAAAGGTTCTTGTTTTAGCTGTTTAACTAAATCAAAAGTTCCTTTAACACAAAGGATTGCACAGCCTTAGGCCTCCATTCTGTGTTCATTTGAAGTGGCCAGGGGCTTTTAACTGTTCCCTTTTGTTCAAAAACTTCACAATTTTACCCCACTTTCTGATTTCTACTTTATTTACATACAAACCACATCATCTGATAAATTTATGTAACACCTTAAATTCCCATACCCCTCGATAAGAGATACATACAGGGAGTTCAAGAATGAAGATTAATCAGCTTTCACATTCAATAAATTGAGGATAAAAAACTAATTTCTCTGTCACTTTGCTGTCATGGAGTCCGCCATGTTGAACCGGCATGTTTCTATAGTAGCCCAGATCAGACAAACCAAACACTGGCTCTAGATAGGGCCATTTGTGTTTTTTGTGTGTTTCATGGCCACCATAGTTTGTGCTTAGAAGTGGAGGGTGAAACAAAGGTGTTGCAATCTTCAACTACACTGCTAGATACCACTATATTTACACACTGATCCTTTAAGATATTGTTAGGTGGTAGCTACAGAGTTACTAAGTTGCACTTTGACTTTAATACAGGCTGTTAAGTGGTTGCTAAGGTGTTTGAAGTGGTTGCTAGGGTTTCACTAGGTGGTTACTAAGGATGTGTCCAAAATCACTCCCTTTTTCGCTCAGTCACTACTCCCTATAAAACTCAAACGTTGAGATTTCAAACACTTACTCGTCATCATCATTTTACACAACTGTAATTTTCACATCTACAAGAATGTGGTGCATTTTGGGATTGTTAGCAGAAAGAAGTGTACATGCCATGGCATTTTTTGTCCTAGTGTGGAAGGACACTACATAGTGTATGAGTGTACACACAGCAGATAAGAGTGTACTATAGGCAGTGCTTTTGGGCACAGTCTAAGGTGTGGATGGTGGGGTTTAAGATCTTTGGTGATTCTGGGTGGTTGCTAGGGAGTGTTACGTGGTTGTACTATCAGTGCGCATTGGTCAGAGAGGTAATACAGTCAGTGCGCAATGATAGCAACAGCAGCACTGGTGGCAATAGTTTCAGTCAAGTGACAACTGAGAGAGATAATTGTGGATGTATTTGGGGCTTTAGGTGTTTATGTTATTAAAATCACTGAATGCTGGAGTGGTAGCTTTAGGTCAAATGTCTTTGGCTGAAAAAAATATAATTTATAATTGCCCAGATTTTTTACACTGTATGAGAAACAGAGGCACCTTTATAAATAGGGTACCTCCTTTGCTCTTGTGCATACACCCTTTGTTAGTGTAGGTGTCATTAATCTAGTCAATTTCAATGTTGAAAGTTAGCAAAATAATGTCAAAACAAGATGTTACTGTAAAACTTTTTTGCAACAGTGCAAAAACATTTTGCAAAACACATTTCAGAGAAAAAAAATCTTGATTAGTTCCGTACATTTGCCTTTGATGTAGACAGTGGTGTAAAGGTGATGATAGATTATGGGGCTGGCCCAGAAATGAGTCGAGCTCAGCAAGACAGACAAGGTTTGACTGACACATATACATATTGTTTTTCATATAATTTGAGTTCTTTTATCCTGTTCATTTTCCTACTTATATCACGTTCTCAGTGTTTACATTTCTGACTTGACAAACCAAAACCAGTCAAAATGTGTCTGAGTGCAGGTTATCTCCCCATCTCAGATCATTTAGTAAACACACGACTTAACTACTCAGAGAGGAATCATGTTTCATCTGTTGTTGACTCCACATGAGACCTTAATGAGCTGCTCTGAGAGAAGACAGGAGCAGCCTGTTGGCCGGTTACCCTGCGGG